CAATATTCAACTCAAAGAAAATTTACCCAAGACTCTCTCTCTCTTACTTTAACATGGTATCAGACTCAAGGGAAATTTACTTAAGACTCTCCCTTCCAATAAATTTTTTTAACGCTTCTCATGCGTTCTTTTGTCAAATCTTGACATTGCTGCTTTGTAGCCGTTTAACGCCTTTCTTTGCATTCATTTGCCAGATTTTTAACCTTGCCGCTTTGCAGCCTCTTAACGCGTTTCGCGTTCTCGTATTCAAGATCATTTTTCTATCTTAAATTTACGGCATTACCGTTTGAAGACCATCTATTGGTCTCAAATTTACAACATCTCTATTGAAAGACCGTCTCTCGGTCTCAAATTAACGGCATCGCTATTTTAATTTGTCTCTCGGCCTCAAACAAACGACATTGTCGTTTCACAGTAAGTAACAACATCGCCGTTTCAATCCATCTCGACGTCTCCATGTCTCAATATCAGCATTAATCCGTTATAGGTCTTCGGCGTGAGCATCAGATCCGACCGATCTTTGGGCCACCTTGGTCGCCGGTTGCTTTTTTTTTCTCAGATTTGACAGTCATGTATAACCTTTAGGTTCAAATTTAACCTTTGGGTTCTTACATTTTAACCTTCGGGTTTGTACATTAACCTTTGGGTTCTCCTTTAAACATTCGGGTTTCGCTCAAGGATTATTATCTTGAACTTTGAATTGTTGCTATTATGGCCTCTTCACTGGCACCTGCTTCTCAGGCTCGATCTAAGCTCGTTTGCACCTATTGCAAGAAGGAGGGATACCGCTTTGAGATATGTTTTCAGCTTTATCCTAAGTTACGTTCTTCAGTAACTGGCCGTAGTCAGCGATCCCCTCAGTCCCGATCCTCTAGTGCACCAGGATTACCGATCAATGTTATGACACCTACTACTTCAAACCCTACCATTCAAGCTATTGCATATATTAGTCGTCAAATTGCGGCTCTTCAGCATACCACCTCTTTATCTGCTGCAAAACTCTATAATATTCACCGTCCAATTGAGGCTCTTCAAGCTATTGCAAATATTAGCAGTTAAATTGCTGCTCTTGCTCTTCAGCATACCACCTCACCATCTGCTGCACAACTCTCTCATATTCGCCATCAAATTGATGCTCTTCAGCATAGAGCCTCTGTATCTACTGTACAACACTCTGGTATGCATCTTGTTAGTTCTTCAGCCAACCCTTCAGTCTCTGGTATGAATGATCTCTGGATTTTTGACTCTGGTTATTCCTTTTATATGACTCGTAATGCCTCCCTCTTATCTTTTGTCTTTACTTCCTCTTCTCTTCCCCCTGTCTACATGGCTGCTGGACAACCTTTGTCTATCACTCAGTATGGATCTATCACCTTATAAGCTGACCCATTTAGTCGTCTAACTCTTGACCCCGTCTATGTGGCTCCTCGGTTGTGTTTGAATTTAATTTTTGTTAGCTCCTTACGTATGTATGGCCTATTTGTCTCATTTTCTTCTGCTACTTGTATTGTGTAGGATTCACATACGGACAAGACTGTTGGGGCCGGTCGGAGGAGACACAAATTGTATTTTCTAGAATATCTTCACCTTCTAGAGTCCATACGTCCATGTTCTCCTGTTGCTTCTGTAAGTCCAAAATCCTCTACCTTGCTTTCCGCAGATTTGTGGTATAGACGACTTGGTCATGTGTCTCATAAAAAGGCTAGAAAGTCTTATCCAGTCCGAAGTACTTGGTCCTGTATCCGCTCTTTCTCATATTGAGTCATGTACTAGTTGTAAATTAGCTAAATTCATTGCTCTATCGTTTCTAACCAGTACATCTGTTTCCATTTCCTTATTTGATTTGGTCCATTCTGATATCTGAGGGCCAGCTCCTCTGCCGTTTTTATCTGGCTACTTATATTATGTTAGTTTTATCGATAATTTCTCTCGTTATACTTGGGTCTACCTACTTAAAAATCGCTCTAACGTACTTGCTGCTTATCAAGCCTTCACTGCGATGATCTTCACTCAATGGTAAGCTCGTAATAAAGTTTTTCGTTCTGACTGTGCCAAAGAGTACATATCCTCTACCATGCGCTCTATCATGTCCTATCATAGGACTATCTTTCAATAGTCATATCCCTACACTCATGAGTAAAAATGATATTGTTGAACGCAAACATCGTCATATTCTAGATAACGCTCGATCCATGCTTATTTCTTACTCTATTCCTCATCGTTTCTGGACTGAGGCCAATCTCATTGTTACTCATGCCATTAATATCACTCCATCTAGCTCTTTTTCTGGTACTACTCCTCATAGTCGTGTTTATACTCATCCTCCCCGTTATGATCTGGTCCGCATTTTTGGTTGTCACTATTTTGTTCTTCTGCCATCTTACGAACATGATAAATTGTCTCTCAGAGCTGTTCTTTATGTCTATTTAGGAATTAGTTCAGAATATCGAGGTTATCATTGTTATGATCTCGCATCTCGTCGAGTTCATATATCTCGACACGTTCAGTTCGGAGAGGATTCTCCATTTTATTCTGCTTCCGATGATTTCAATTTCCTCCACACTACTAATCGTGCTTCTCTGCCAGCTGCATCACCCACTTCCTTACCTTAGTTCTCCTTTCGAGATCTCCCTGAAATCTCTCCATCTCCTTTTGTTGACTCTCCCTCACCCGAGCCTTCTTTTCCACCATCTGATCCCTATCCTGTAGACATGACACTCACTCTAGAAAATATGGTTGACCTCCATGCACCTACGCTAGCATCTCCCCTACCTGAGGTTCCTCTTGCTCTTCGTCGAGGCAAACACTCACATATCATATCTGCACGGTATGCTTCGGTTACTTCCTATTCATCTATCTTTCATAATTTTTTTACTTGCATTCATACTAAAGTTGAGCCAAAGTCTTTTCAATAGGCCGTTCAATTTCCAAAGTAGCGACAGGCTATGGCTGAGGAATTTCAAGCCTTTTAGCAAACACATACCTGGGATGTTGTTCCCTGTCACCCTGGCATCTCTTTAGTTGGCACTAAATGAGTTTATAAGGTCAAGTATCATCCTGATGGCACCATTGAACGTCAGAAAGCTCATTTAGTGGCTCGAGATTTTACTCAGCAACAATGTAGAGACCTTTGCTCATGTTGCTCAGATGCCCATCGTTCGTACTCTTTTCGCGGTCGATGCTGCTCATCATTGGCCCTTATACCAGATGGATGTCAAAAATACTTTTCTCTATGTCTCTTTATCTGAGATAGTATATATGCAACCACCTCCAGGGTCCAATATTTCTCCGGGACATGTATGTCTCTTTCGTCGTGCTGTTTATGGTCTCAAGCAGGCACCCCGCACTTGGTTTTAGTGTTTTCGTGATGTCATGCTCAAGGCGAGCTTTATGGAAAGTCATCAAGATGCTTCTCTGTTTGTTCATACTACATCGCGTGACAGTGTTTTATTACTCATCTATGTAGATGATAGGATCATTACAGGTGATGATGTGATTGATATACAGTACACAAAATCTCAGTTGCAATAACAGTTCCACATGAAGGATCTTGGATCTCTTCGGTATTTTCTTGGTCTAGAAATTTCTCAAGGCCCGCGGAGTGTACTACTGTCTTAACAGAAGTATCTCTCGGATATTCTAGAACGAGCTGAGCTAACTGACGAAGCAACTGTCGATACTCCACTCCAATAGAATGTCAAACTTCGCTCTACTGATGGTGAGCATTTATCTGATCCTACCCGATATCGACATCTTGTTGGCCAGTTGGTCTATCTGTGCATCTCTCGATCAGATATCTCTCATGTTGTTGGCATTGTCAGTTATTTTGTTAGTGCCCCACGTTCTGTACACTATGTTACCTTATTATGGATTCTTCGGTATCTCCGGGGTACTAGCACTCGCTCTCTTCTGTTTCCTGCTACATCCAAGTTAGAGCTTTGTGCATATTCTGATGCTGATTGGGCTGGTGATCCCACTACCAGGAAGTCTACCACATGTTATTGTATATTTTTTTAGTAATTCTCTAATTTTCGAACGGAGTAAGAAACAAAATGTTGTTGCTCTTTCCAGCACCGAGGCAGAGTATAGTGCAATGTCCACAACAGCTAAAGAGATTATTCATCTTCGTCGTATTCTCAGTGATTTCAGTATTCCTGTTTCGACTCATACTCCTCTATACTGTGATAATAAGAGTGCCATCTAAATTGCTAATAATCTAGTATTTCATGAGAGGACCAAACATATTGAGATCAACGCTCATTTTGTCCGTCAACAAGTTATCAAGGATAAGACAATTCTACTTCCTCATGTGTCATCCGTCGACGAGCTTGTAGATTTCTTCACAAAGGCCTTACCTGTTCATCGGTTCTAGTTTCTTGTACGCAAACTCACTTTGTTTGATCCAACATGAGTTTGAAGGGAACTGTTAATAATAGTGTTGATAATAGTGTTAGTAGTGGGTTTTTAGTCCCACAATATTGGTTGTGAGAACACACATCACCCTCCTCTACTTGTATAAATATATGTGCACATTCAATATTCAACTCAAGAGAAATTTACCCAAGACCCTCTCTTTTTTACTTTAACACACATAAAACTAAAACTTTCTTCCCCCTACTGTTATATAGCTTAAACAAAGCACGCTTTTATTTTTAAGGCTTCAAAGATATTAGTTTGTAGAAGCCTAGGGCTGAAACCAGGCCCTAACTTTCGCAAAATAAAGGTATCCTCTTAATTAATAATGTAATGCTCATAAATTATAAGTTAGTAATCAAATAAATATATTTGATATCTGATAAAGCTTTTCAAAAGGCTAGAGAAGAATATTCAAATTTGGATTCAAATTTAGAACGAATATAAATATGGGCAACCTCAATATCAAACCTAACACATCCGAATATTGATGAATTAATTAACGTGAAATAGTTAATGGAAAAAGGGCCCGAATAGAGAAGGGCCAGAATAATCCTAGGCCCATAAAACAGCCCAAAACTCAGCGGCGGCAGCTAAGCGGTTGCGGTTCCCTACTAAAGCGCCGCGAGCGGCGCATGCGCGGCGACACGTGGCGTCCCTTCCTCTCTTCAGAGATCCCTTCTTCAGCCGGACCCGCTCCTCTTCTCTCCTCTCCCATCACATCACCTTCCCTCCTCCTGCTGGTCCAATCTTCTCTCGTTCCCACTCCCTCCCCCTCCCCGTCCGGTCGGCGAAATTACGATCCCGCCACGATGAGCAACGGCAACTTGGAGACCCGAACCCTCTTCGACGAGCTCAAGAGCCTGGAGAAGGGGTGGCTCTTCGATTTCGGCCACCCCCTCGTCAACCGCGTGGCCGAGAGCTTCGTCAAGGCCGCAGGGGTAATCTCGTCAGTTTACTTTTTTTTTCTTTTCTTCCTCCCTTTTGATTTGTTCGGCGAGTGATTCTTGTTGCGGCTGTGCTAGATCGGCGCGATTCAGGCGGTGTCTCGTGAGGCTTATTTTACCGCTTCCGAAGGTGATAATTCTGTGAACGCTGTCGTTGATTTCCTTTTAATTTGAGAGGATGTTGTCGTTGATGATCGTGCTTATCCAAATTCGGGCTCTTTTTGGTGCATTAATCTAAGACACTTCAATGATTATGGTTGTTGTCCAATTGAATGTGATTCCAGAGTGAAGTTGAATACTTCCAACCTAGCAAACGCTTACATATAGTTTGGTTTCCTTCGAATGTCTTGTTTTTTTTTTTTTGCCCCTTTTGTTTATGCTGTTAACAAATTATGTTTTGGGGGTGAATTTGGAATCACATATTTTGTGATGGCTGAGCAACTTATAGAGTTAGAAAAAAAAATATGTGCATTCCTTTCGTCTGTTCAGATGTATGTTTGGATAGTTCACCATTATCGCATCGATTACGGGTATCATATCATACTCTCTTTAAAAGCACGAGTTCGGAAAATCTTTTTTAGACAAATATACCCCTTTATAGTTTGAACTACCTTATCTATAATCAAGTTCTAATTTTCAATGGTCAATATTGCCCTTCACTATTTTGAATATTTTATTTATATCTTAATCTATCCTAATCATAATCATATCTTATCCTAATCCTATGTGAACCATGTTTAGCTTAACAATTTTAAAAAACTAATATTAATAAAATATATAAAACATAAATATGATATTAGTTTGTTAAGATAAAGAAATTACAAGTCGATAACATATTATAATACATGATGTATTGCAAAAAAATCATAAAAAGTTTTAAAATTGCAATAAAGACCCTGAAAAGTTCAAAATTATAAAAATCATCCCAATGTCTCAAAACTTAAAATAAAAAATATGAAATTAAAAAATTAACATCATTTTGCAAAGAATTTAAAATTTACAGTTAACACCTCAATGTCTCAAAAATTATAGAAACACCCTCAAAAGTTTAAATTACAGACAAGCATATTAAAATTCTAAAATTTTAAAACTTACAAACAACACAGATGAATTCAAGAGATTACCATGATACACCTAAAATTTTTGATATTTAAATTTAAATTTTTTAATTAACACCCTTAATATCTCAAAAATTATAGAAACACCTTCAAAAATTCAAATTATAAAAAACCACTCTAAAATTCTAAAATTTGTAAATAACATAAGATGAATTCAAAATATTACCCTTAGACACCTAAAAAGTTAAAATTTGCCGAAATTAACCTCAAATTTTTTAAAAAACTCCTTCAAAATTTAAAAACTGTAAAAAAACTCTAAATTTTCAAAATTTTTAACTAGCACACATCAAATTCGTTGATTGGTAGATCGCTGAAATTTAATATTTTTTTAAAATTAATCTATAGTTTTAATAATTATAAAAGACACCCTCAAAATTTTAGAGTTACAAGAAATATACTAACATTTAAAAAATTACCACCAACACATGAAACATAGAATTACAACTACCAAACTTAAAAGTAAAATTTTTTAAAAACTCTTTCAAATTTTTAAAAATTACAAATCACACACTTAAAGTTCAAAACCACAAAAATGGGCTAAAATTTTAAAACTTGGTAAAGAAAAGTGTAATTGTTTGGTATTTTTCACACACACACACACACACACACACACAAATTTATCCGCACTATATAAATTAAATTAATTTCATATAATTTTAGTAGTAAGTTGGGGTAGCCAAAATACATTCGTAACATTAATTGATAGATGTTTAAATCCATAGAAATGATAAAACACTATAATATTATACCTTAGCATTAATTGATTTTAATTTAGAACTTTAATCTTTGACGTTAATAATATTTATAGGGTAAAAGAATACAAGAAATTACATATTGAGAAACTATTAGAATATTTAGGGATAACTTTAAAAGAATTGAGTTATTTCCATTGCAAATGGGAAAGTGATGGAAATAAATCTAAAATTCAGAAAACATCAATGAATCACTTGAATTGGCATTAACATAAGACATATCTATTAATGAAGCACTGAATGAGTTACATTAAAAAATAATTTAATAACTTTATCCTAATCAAAGAAAAAATCTCCATGGAAGACATAAGAAAAATTAGTAAGTATTCATAAATTCCATATTGTGTTCTTCAAATTAAATATTAATATTATAATCTAAGAGAAATTTGTAATGAATAATGCAGGTATTTAGTTTTGATCTTTATGGAAAATGACAGGGATAGAGCAAAGGTAATATTATTGAAATAACAGAAATTCTTATTAGATGCATATCAGAAGAATTCATTTTAGAGGAAAATAAAGAGATAGCTTCTAATTTATTTAAGTAATAAATTAGGAACACAAAGAATTTTATATATATGAAATTAATATTTATTCTCATTGAAATAGAAAAAATCAAAGTCTATATTTTGAGCAGTTTGTGTTGAACATCATAAGTATATTTGACTTTTTTGTAAAGTTAAATGAGATGATAAAAAATTAACGAGCCCAGGAAAGATAATAACATAAAAAATAAAAAATTAGCCTGATGTTACAATTGATGTAGATGATGAAGACAATACTCTAGAATTGTCCGAGAAATGATAAATGATAAACCTGAAGAAGGATTGATCTTAACTCAATAAAAAATAAAATAGAAGAAATAAAAAACAATATTTTTTGAATATTTTATAGAATAGTTTAATTATTTTTAGTGAAAATAGGAATCTTTAGAAGGGAGTTTCATGAATTTTTTTTCAATACTTTTATATTCTTATGTGGATGTTTTTATCATATAAAAGTATACTAGAGTTAGCATTAATCTTTAATTTATATTTTTTTTATGAAGTCTATCAATGATTAGGAATAAACTTCATATTCTCTTTTGCATCGTTTTAACATACTTTAAATCAATTATTTTGCTATATTGGTTTTAAATACTCACCTTCCTTGTATAACACTATTTTAATATTTTTCACTTTGCAATACTATACTTTCTCAAATAAAGCTTAGTTTCATATCGGTCAAAAAAATATAAAAATTTAAATTATTTTTAAATTATATTTGTTTTTTGTCAATTCAAATATCAACATGAAAATTTAAATTGGGTGTATCTCATTTAAACAAACATAAAAAAATAATTGGGATGTAAGAGTTTAAAAAAAAATGAGCACAAACTGTCAAAAATACTTAATCATGATATTAAATAACGTGCATTGCACGTGTGTAAAAACTAGTATAAGAAAAAGAAGAAGATCATGAGATTAGATGTGGAACAGATTGTCCATGTACATACATATTTTTCACATCCTTACATGGACTATTTTTCATGAAATTCTTTCACTACTAGAGTTTGCCCTCAACTATCGTCATGCCTAGCTGACAGTACGAGACTATGAGTGAATCATTATGTCCGTAAGATGTCATGTTGTTCGAATTTCGATGGGACAAAAGTTTGAGTTAGTTATTTCCTTTCAGCTGGAGGAGCTGATTCTGCTTCAGTGCCGGAGCTCCCGAGCAGCAGAAGGCACAGGTTCCCTGGTCTAAGAGGTAACTGGGGGGGTATCGATCGACAGTTTATAACGATTAAGGGTTTCAATATGTTTGCACGATTAACATTGCTGCTTGTTTTACAGGCGAGAGCTCCAAAAAGTCACTCGAGGAAATGGTGAGCCTTGATTAGCTCTTGTAGTCTTGTCTTTGCTATTTGCTTTATTAAAAATACTTGTTTTGAAGGTTGAGTGTCGTACATGTATATCGTGCATGACCGTTGATAATTAAGCTTAATAAAAATTTTCTCATGTTTTACA